TGAACGAACAAATGGGGAGCGGTGGCAGGGAGTGGCACTGGCCAGGCACCAGATTTTGGGGGGGGGGGGGCAACAAGAGAAAGGAAAAAAGGCACAGCAGCAGCCACTGGATCCCTCCCATTTCTGAAACAGAGGGGTCAGCCACCCAAAAGGACACAAAGGCAGCCCCTAAACACACACACAGACACATATATATGGGGGGGGGGGCACTTCAACTAGGCCCTATGATAAAGCAGGATTCTTCCTCCTCCTCCTCCTCCTTCCATCAGAGACAATGACTTCGCGAAGATGACAAAGCAACCCAGTTTCCACCATACCGAAAAAATCAGAGAAGCCGCGCCTACGATGCTCAAACACATTAGACCCAATTCCTTTCATTTTTCAAGCACTGAAAGAGGCCAGGGGGGATGAGGGGAGGGGGGGGGGGTCTTTGTATTCTTCCCACCATGAAACCCTTTAGGTTTTTTCCTTTCCTTCCTTTTAGGCGTGGCACGGCAAGGGAGGAGCCGCAAAGAGAACAACACACGCGGGTCTTGGCTCCGTGGCACCTTTTGGGAAGGAATGCAGCAAGCGAGGGATGGAAACGGATGGGGAAATGTCCCCCAAATCCAGGCAAAAAACTGGCCCGTTTCTGGACATACGCTCCACTTGGAGTTGGGCAGCAAGGGAGGCATGAGAAGCATTGCATTGTGTCACCTCCTTCCTTTCCCCTTCCCAAAAGAAGGGATGATTCATCACCGAGAAGGGCTTTTTTCATCCCGTCATGGTGCCATATCTGGTCGGAACACATGCATCAACGGGAATGAGGGCATTGGAGTATATATTGCCCTCATTGGAAACAAAAAAAGTCATATATAGAGAGAGTTTCTCCCAATTCGTTGACTTCCTCTACCCAAAGGTGTGTGTGTGCATGGAATGTGTGTACAAGGGGAAAATATCGATTTCTATTGTTGTCTGTTGTGAGTATAACACAAACCAGACAACTATATCATCAATTTCTTCTCATCGATATAGATATATAGATAGCTAGATATAGATATATACATACACACATATGAATGAATAGGAGTGCAGCTCACTTCTCATAGATAGATATAGATATATATATATACACACACACACGAATGAATAGTTTAGCTCACTTCTCATGTAGATAGATAGATAGATATAGATATATACATACATACATACACACATATGAATGAATAGGAGTTTAGCTCACTTCCCATATTATATATACACACACACACACACACACACACACACGTACATGTGAATGAATAGGAGTACAGCTCATTTCTCATATCTCTCTCTATATAGATAGAGATATAGATAGATATACATACACACATATGAATAGTATAGCTCGCGTCTCATATATAGATTGATATAGATATAGTTACATACGTACACACATATGAATACAAGTACAGTTTGCTTCTCATATAGATAGAAATATATAGATATAGATATATACATACATACACCCGTATGAATATGAGTCCAGCTCACTTCTCATATAGATATAGATATATATATACATACATACACCCATATGAATAGTCCAGTTCGCTTCTCATATAGATGTAGATATAGATAAATAGAAATAGATATATACATACATATGAATAGGAGTCCAGCTCTCTTCTCTCATATATATATATATATATATATATACACACACACACACACACATACACACACACACACACAAATAGGAGTGCAGCTCACTTCTCATATAGACAGATATATATAGATAGATAGATATAGATAAGATACATACATACACCCATATGAATAGTCCAGCTCGCTTCTCATATAGATATAGATATAGATACATACATACATACATACATATGAATAGGAGTCCAGCTCTCTTCTCTCTCATATATATATATATATATATATATACACACACATACACACAAACACACAACCTTTTCTGGTGCAGCTGCAACTTTTCATAGCTCATATAGATGTAGATATACATACATACATATGAATAGGAGTCCAGCTCGCTTCTCATACACACACACACATAGGAGTGCAGCTCACTTCTCATATAGATATAGAGATAGATATATACATACATACACACATATGAATAGGAGTCCAGCTCACTTCTTATATAGATAGACAGCTAGACAGATAGAGATATATACATACACACACACATATGAATAGGAGTCTAGCTCACTTCCAAGCACACCGACATTTCCTTTCTCTCTCATATTCTATTTGTTCGCCTTCCAAATAAAAGGGCATTTCCCCCCTATTTTCCCCCATTGAAGGACTCAACGGCTGCCACCTTTGCCATGCAATATTCCTAACATTCCCCATATCCAGACACATATATAGGAATCAGAACCGGATCCAATGTATTGAACAAAATCTACCAATTCCTTTCCAAGCAATACAAATGATAACAACAGCCCAGTTTGTGTCATATTGGAAGAGTAGTACTGTAACAGTAAAAAAGAAAAATGGCTGGACATTCTGTCTTTTCATCCATCCTTCAATTTTTGCATAACCTCCCCTTTTTGCTATATATATATATATATATGCCGTGACAATTTGAATTGCACTCCTTCCCTTCTTTGGAAATCACTCTTTTCCATTTGTAACTCTCCTTTTTCCCCCTCTGTTCTTGTCTATGTGTTACGTTCGAGGGTATTCATATATGCATATGTAGTGCGTGCAGACCAACACCTATATGTGGACCTATATATGTATATACCTCTCTCTACATGTATATGGGGTATCTATATATGCATGTGTGTGCGTGCAAACCAATACCTATATGTCGACCTATATATGCATAAACCCCCCTCTCTATATATGGGGGTATCTATATATAGATATGTGTGCAGACCAACACCTATATGTGGATCTGTGTGTGTTTGTCTGTATCTATACGTACACATGTATGTGCAGACCAACACCTATATGTGGATCTATATATGCGTATACCCCTCTCGCTATATATGGGCGTTTCTATATATACATATGTATGTGTGCAGACCAACACCTATATGTGGACCTATATATGTATATACCCCCCTCTCTCTATATGGGAGTATCTATATATACGTGTGTGTGTGTGCAAACCAACAACTATATGTGGATCTATATATGAGTATACTCCCCTTCTCTCTATATATATGGGGGTATCTATATATACATCTATGTGTGCAGACCAACACCGATATGTGGATCTATATATGCATATACCTCCCTCTCTCTCTCTCTCTCTCTCTCTCTCTATATATATATATATGTATATATTACACATAAAATACATGTGTGTATAAATATATATGTGCATAAGTATACATATTATATATGTGATACATATACATATAGGTGTGTGCATTTATGTATATTATGTGTGTGTGGGTGTAGGTGCATAAGTATGACCCAAAATACATTGGGGCAAATGAGAAATTGTAGCTAAATGTACCTTTAGTTGCAAAATACTCACATATAGATAGATAGCTAGAAATAGATAAATATACGAGTTTGCTAATTTTTCCCATTTATGGGGACTTTTAGGCCACCCTATATATATGTGTATATCTATGTACATTAAATATGTGTCTATAGATAATTATGCATATATGTATATATGTATGTGCAGATTAAATATATGTGTCTATAGATGCATGTATGTGCATATTGGAGCATATTAAAGATATGCATGTATATATAGGTACATATATAACTGTTCAAACACATACTGTATGTATGTGTGTATGTATATATATAATATACACACACATACATACAGTATGTGTATAATATATATACATATATACACACACACACATATATATATATATGCCGCAGGCATTAATATATACTATATAGTGACAACCTAAAATTAATAAACTATTAATACCCCGGAAATCTATATATTAATACCCCAGAAATCTATACATTAATACCCCAGAAATCAATAGATGTTAATAAACCAGAAATTAATATATTAGTATATATTTACCACAGAAATCAATATATATTAATAGCCCTGAAATTAATATATATTAATACTCCAGAAATTAATATATATTCACCCCTGAAATCAATATACATGAATACCCCAGAAATTAATATATATTTACCCCAAAAATCAATGTATTATGAATAGCCCTGAAATTAATACATATTTACCCCAGAAATTAATATATATTAAAACTCCAAAAATTAATATATATTAATATCCCAGAAATTAATATATATTAATACATCAGAAATCAATATATATGAATAGCCCTGAAATCAATATACATTTACCCCAGAAATCAATATATTAATGTCCCAGAAATTAATATATATTAATACCTCAAAAATCAATATATATGAATACCCCAGAAATTAATATATATTTGCCCCTGAAATCAATATATATTTACTCCTGAAATCAATATATATTAATATCCCAGAAATCAATATATATGAATAAATATTAATACATATTATTCCAGATATCAATATATATTAATACCCCAGAAATAAATATATATTAATACCTCAAAAATCAATATATATGAATAGCCCTGAAATTAATATATATTAATACCTTAAAACCCCCAAAATTAATATATTAATACCCCAGAAATCAATATATATGAATAGTTCTGAATTATAATATCTATTTACCCCTGAAATTAATATTTATTAATACCCCAGACATCAATATATATGAATAAATATTAATACATGTTATTCCAGATATCAATATATATTAATACCCCAGAAATATTGATTTTTGAGGTAAATATATATTAATTTCTGGGGTATTTATATATATATATATACCTCAAAAATCAATATATATGAATAGCCCTGAGATTAATATACCTTTTCCTCAAAAACCTCTATGAATAGCCCTGAAATGAATATAGATATATGTATCAATAGCCTAGAAACCAATAGATATCGATTCCCCAATAGAGATCAATGGGGGCGAAAAAGGAGGCGGGCGGGCGCCAAACACTCACGTTCTTCATGGCAGCCGCCATGTCGTCGTAGCGCTCAGCCTGCTCGGCCAGCCGGGCTTTCTGCACCAGCTGCTCACGGTCCACCATCTTCCTGGATTGCGGTTGTTTTGAAAATAGATAGAAATAGTAAAATTTAAATATATATATTCAAAATACAAGAAGATGGGGAATTTCTCGCCCGACCGAGTCGCCTCGGAGAGAGAAACACAAAACCAACCGGGCTGAAGGAGAGAGAGAGAGAGAGAGAGGAGAAAAAGAGCAAGCGAGCGATCTGATTGGCTGGCCGGGCTTCAGAGAGGGAGAGAGAGGGAGAGAGACGGAGAGCGCGCACAAGGCTCCTTCCCCGCTCGCGCCGCGGCTGCTCTGACGGCTGCGGCGGCGCCCCTCTGCGCATGCGCGGCCCTCCTGCCAAACAGAAGCCCCGCCTCTTTCTCTCCCTCCTTTTCCCCCGCCCCTCTGCGCATGCGCGGACCTCCTGCCAAACAGAAGCCCCGACTTTCTCTCCCTCCTTTTCCCTCTCTGCGCATGCGCGGCCCTCCTGTCAAACAGCAGCCCCGCCTCTTTCTCTCCATCCTTTTCTCCCTCTGCTCCAAAACGCTCCCGCCCTCTCCCCGCGCGCAAAGCACGACGGGAGATAGAGTTCCCTTTCCGAATGATAGCCGCGCGCTCAGAGCTGAAGCCGCGGCGGAAGGGACTACATTTCCCAGCAAGCCACGCGCGCTTCCTTTTGTCCTAAAGCCATACACTCACAGGGCTTGGACTGGATGGCCCTTTGGAGTCCCTTTCCAACTCT